GCCGGCGCATTGCGAGGCGGCGAGCGGGCAGCGCGGCCTCCCGCGTGCTGCAATCCCCATTTCCCCCTTTTTTTTTATTTTTATTCCTCTCTCTCTTTTTTTTTTTTTTTTCTTCATCCGCATATTAGCGGCGCTGCTCGCCTTCCGCCTTCTTCTTCTCGTCCTTCTTTTTTCCCCCCGCCCCGGGACTTAGCGGCGACACTTTCTTGATTTATTTCCCCCTCCTGCCGGCTTTGTGCCCTGCGAGCCGCGCAAGGAAAGCGCCGGGCGAGGCGGCCCCAGCCGCGGCGACTGCAACAAAAAAGCATCTTTTTTTTTCCTCTCCTCTTCCTTTTTATTATTTTTTTCCTCCTTCCCCTCCCTCCTGTCCTTTTTTTCCTCCTCCCCCATCCCTCTCGCCCCGTACAAAGGCAGCAAGGTGGCCTCGCAGCGCAAAAAGAGCTTTGTTTTAAAAATGCCCATGGAGTTGACGCAGAGCCGCATCCAGAAGATCTGGCTGCCCAATGACAACCGGCCGGCCCTGCCCCGACGTCGTGAGTAGGGGATAAACGTGGGGGTCCTGGGGTGCTCTGTATTGCCTGGGGGGGGGCTGCTTCTTCACTTCCATTATTATTATTAAGTATTCCCCTTGGAAAAATAATAGATTTGCATCAGTGGCTTTTTGTTCCCCCCTCGCTCCAGCATCCTCCCTGCCGGTGCCGGGAGCGCTGCGGAAGGCGCCCGGCTCTGCGGATGCCGCCCACCTGCCTCCATCCCTGGCCGGACCAGCGGATGCCGAGCTGCAGAGTTGGGGCCTGACCTCAATTCCTCCCCCGCTGCTGCTTTTTCAGCCCACCCTCGTGCATCCGGGATTAAAGAGGCATGAGGCGGCTTGTTCACCTTGGCCCCGGGTAGTGACTCGGGCTGGGATTTGCTGAGGTGACCGGAGCTTTCCGGTGACTTTGGGAACGGGCCACCTTGGGGCACCACCAAAATCTCCTGCCAAACTGCTGGCCGGCTCCTGCTCTCCTCAGCCACGCTGCGCTTGGGATGGGATGGGAAGCAGGTGGAAGGGAGCCAGACAGCACAAAAAATAAAGTGCAGGCAGCATCCTGGTCTTGTAAACCAACCTCTGTGCTTAAAAATAAATAGAGGCAAATGCTTGGATTATCCAGGTGTTACCGAAATACAAATTGTGAATCCCAACACGACTGTAAAGCCCAAGAACCGGTGCTTTTAACTCGCCCAGCACCCAAACTGACAGGCTGCCAGTGGTGCAGCTCCAGACAGTTCTCCCTATAAAGCATCGCAGGAATCCTTGCAGGTTTTTTGGAAATCCTAGATTCCAGATTGCCGTCTGGAAATGGATGGAAGCTGCTTGGGCAGTTCGAATCAATCTTTCCAGTGCTCTTATTTAACAGGCAACTGTGTTTTAAAAGTCACTTAGGACCTTTGCTTCCCTGGGTGAGAAAAGTTTCCACCTTGAGGAGGGGGGAAATTTAAAAATAATAATTAAAAAATAGATCCTGGCTGTTGGCTCCATTAAGGTGCCAGCGTGTGAGGTGTACCGCGGTTGTCACCCGATGGCTGTGGGTGACATGGGCAGCCAGAGCTCTGCGCTGATCCCGCGCGGATGCGCAGCATGAGCCGCATCGGAAAGGGCTGAACATCTGGGCTGCCCCAGGGCTCTGCTTTCAGCGGGGTATGATGTCTCCTGGCTGGGGGAGCTGCCGTAATGCTTTGCAGCTGTATCTGTTTGATCTGATTTTTACTTATTTATTTATTTTTTCCTGGACCATGCTGCGTAGAGACAGTTTTGAAAGGAATCCCTCACGAGCGTAGCCCTTACTGCTGCTTTTTAGCTACTTTATCCGCCTGGTTCTTGACCACGGGGTCACTTAGGGGAGAACTCCCCCTTGCAAGAGAGACTGTCATGGCTTAACCTATAGAGCCCCGGGGGGTGGTTAATACCCTCGCGTGGCTCCTAATTAATTCCTGTGGGGTGGAATGAGTTGTGTGGGGCCTCATTTATTGCCATCCTGTATCGTCGCGCCGTCAGCGTTTTCAGGTCTCTAAAATTTGGAGCAGGTTTCCCGGAGCTGATCTTAACTAGCGGCTACGAGATGTCACGGTGGCACCGCGGTGGCAGCGAGCGCACGACGGGGATGCCATGCGGAGCCTTGAGCCGGGTGCCATCGGATGCCGTCGTCCAGGCTTTTAGCCGGCGGTCCATTGAATTCCCGCCGGGCTGCACGTCGCTCACGTAGGGGCCGCGAAGTCGAGTTGTTTTATGGGCAGAGCCCTTCTCTGGGACGAGGGGAGGGGGCTGGCGCCGTAGGAGGGATGATGCCGGAGGAAAAGTTCCGGCTGCGTCTTGCGCTCCAAATTGGCTAGGAAAAGACTAAGATTATTGCAGGACTCATCCTAACGCATCCTTCAAGTGAATGGTAAAAATGATGAGAGTGAGGAAGCGCACACTTTACCTAACTTGGCTTTTCTAGAGGCAAATTTGCTCCTCTTTTCTCTCCATGCTGCGCAGATCTGGAGCAGCATGCACATCTTTCCGCAGCTAGGAATGATGAGCTGCTCCTGGCCGCGTCTTTGGAGCATCCTCCCTGACCTTGCCCTGCGCGGACAGATGTCAGTGACGGGGAATGAATGTGCATTGAAATCCTGGAATCCCTTCCAAAGGATGGGATGAATCGGGGCTTTGTGCAGCGCTCGGAGCCGAGCGCCGGCTCCTGTTTCATCCCTGCTGCGAGGTTTGCAGGAGCGCGGCGGCGGGGAGCAGGCGGACGCGGTTTTGGGTGCGGGTGGCTCGTCTTGCCCGGGAGCCCTTCCCTGCTCCGACGCTCCTCAGCACGGATCCGGGAACTTTTCTCTGTGTGCTGGCAGCTGGGGCAGGAGTTTTTGTCCTCTGTGCAGCTATTCCTCCCTTTTTTATACATATTTTTCCTTCTTTCTTCCTTATTTAATACTTCATGGTTCTGTGGTGCAGAAAAGACTGGTAGCTGGTGTTGGTTGAGGATGGGAGCAGCCGTCCAGTCTATGCAGGGAGGAGGAGAATTTTCTCTCCGAGGGTGTCACAACCCCCGTGGCATCCTGGCATGCAGAATAGATGCTTGTCCCCAAAGTCAGTGGGAGATTCCCTGGGCTTTTGGGGACTTTTTTGAGGAATGCTTGATATTTAATGCACGAAACAACGAAGCTTCATTCGTTCGTTTTCTCATCTCTTGCCTGCCGAGGAACAGCGGACGAGTGGCTTTATCGTGGACCCTGTTGCCCTAACTCCTTGTAGCCCAAGTTTGGCTTCTCTGGTTGCTGCTGGCGTCCTCCCTTAGGAGAGAGGGAAGTTCCTTGTCCTCATGGGCTTGGCAAAGTCTCTTTGCCCTCTGTTCCTTCCACAGCGGTTTTGGGGGTCTTGAGGCTGGCTGGAGCCGTGGCCAGGTGAGAAGCACCCGGGAAGGATTCCCAACACGTGGCACCGGCAGCATGGAGGGTGTTTCTCTAATCCAAATACCATCAGATGTCATTAAGATCTGTCACATCTGAAGCACTTGGCGCCCGCTTCCCAGCAACGTGACAGTCCTGGCTCCGCTGCTGAGAATATCCCGGGATACAGGAACTGGGCAGGGGAGTGGGGTAGGAAAATTCCCGGATTGATCCGTTTGGCAATTTTCTTTGAACTGAAGGACTGAATTCATTTCCTAAAGGATTTTTTGGGGGTAGCAGTGATTTGCCTGGGCAACCTGGAAACAAATTTGTTTGCTTTTTGGCTGTGCAACTGGGTCAAACAGGAGTGGAGTTTCTCTTTAACTTGCCATGTCATCATTGAACTGATGGCTCTGTGTGTGTATGTGTGTGTGTATATATACACACATATTTTATATATATATATACACACACATATATATATATATATAATTTATTTATTTTCTCCCAGCTATTTGATACAGGATCCTCTTTAATCTAGAGGCAGGGCCAGAGTGGGTGGGGGTGGAAAAAAGCTTAAATCAGATTTAGACAAAAAAAAAGATATAAGTTGATTTTATGTACCTACTTTTAAATGTTCATGGTTCTGCAGCTCACTAATGGTGTTGTGGACCTGTATGTCCTCAGAAAAGTGGTTGGTTGTATTTGTTTATGCATTAGCTTGAAAGCTAGGAAAGGTTTTTGAAAATTGTTCCCTGAGGATTAAGTTCTCAACTTTACAAAGGGCAATGCAGGCCTTATCTTTTTTATTTTATTTTTTTAATTGAAATTGGCTAAACTGTGTGAACAAGAGGTTGCATTGGCCTTGATTTTTTTCAAATGGAGAAACTGAGGTGCAGTGGTTCTTCAAAGACAGTTGGGTTCTTACCCATGTTTCAGCTATCAGAGAGTCCCCCTTTTGCCTTAGCTTCCAGTCTGTGGCTTCCACGGCTGGCCTAAGTGGCCCCAGGATCAATGTGATTTAGTGCCTCGATGCTAAGTGGCCACAGAGCTGATTGTCATCCATCCCTGTTGCGACACGTTCATTCAGCTACTACCGTTGCAAAAATGAGTTGGTGGGTTCACCCGCCTGGTTGTGATGCACATGAGCAGCACTTGTTTTTTCCCCAGCTTTCCCACTTGGATCAACAGCAAGTGCTTTGCAGGATTGATGCAAGAGGAGCTGGTGGATTGGTGGCCATTTGTGTTGTTTTCTCCTCTTTCTCGTAGCCTGTGGGCCGCAGCTTGCCAACTCGCCCACCGTGATAGTGATGGTTGGCCTCCCAGCCCGTGGGAAGACCTACATCTCCAAGAAGCTGACCCGCTACCTCAACTGGATTGGTGTCCCCACGAAAGGTGAGGCCTTTGGAGCAGCCAGGGGGCAGTTTTACAAAGCTCATGCTGGCCAGGTGTCCATGTCCTCATGTCCCACCTGCTGCAGCAGATGTTTCTTTTCCACATGGAGACCAAGGGCTGGCCTTTCTCTCCAAGAATGTCTCTGCTTGGCCTGTGGCTGGAAAGCTTCGTCCACAGGTGACGTTGTGGCTGAAAATTGTGCTATTCAGACCTCCATGCCTGGAGGGCGCTTCCCCAAGTCATTGCTCTAGGCTGTGGCTTGCAGGATTGGCATTCCCCATGCAGGCCAAGGCCAAGGTGGGGACTCCCAGCTGCTCCCATGATGGGGAATGGGCTGGACTAGGATCTCAGCTTTGACAGTCTCTGTCTTTTCTGCGCAGTTTTCAACGTGGGTGAGTATCGCCGCGAAGCCGTGAAGCATTACAGCTCCTATGACTTCTTCCGCCCCGACAACGAGGAGGCCATGAAAGTGAGGAGGTAAGTGCAGGTCCAGTGACTGCCCAGGGACTGAATGGGTGGTGAAGGCCAGGGCCGGCAGTGGGTTTTCCCCAAAGACGTACTGGATGGAAAGGTTGGGGCTGAGTTCTCCTTGGCTGTCCGCGTGCCGGTGGCCGGGAGCATCTCGGAGGGTATTGGGAACATCATGCAGATGTCACCTCTTCTTGCAGGCAATGCGCCCTAGCTGCCTTGCGGGACGTCAAGCTGTACCTGACAGAGGAGGCCGGCCAGATTGCGGTGAGTTTGAGGAAATGCTTTTTATAAAACATCTGCTGATCCTCCTAGATGTAGACTGAGGAAGGGCTTGGGGGAAAGCCCAGCATTCTTGGTGCTAACCCAAATATATGTGTTCCTAAAGGTTTTTGATGCCACCAATACAACACGGGAGAGGCGTGGGATGATCTTGAACTTTGCCAAAGAAAATGGATTCAAGGTTGGTACCAACAGGCTGCTGCCAATATTGCAGAGCTCCCATTAGCGTATTGGTGCCCTCTTCTCAGTAACGTGATGTCTTCATAATGCTCCTGTGCAAGAGGGAGTTCTGTTTCCCTTTTGAGTTGAACACAGATGTAAAATGCTTCCCTTGTTCAAGACTCAAAGTCCCAGAGAAGGAAAGGGAAGGGAGTGGGATGGTGGGAGAGCTCTGTGGGTCAAGCCACGAAGTGGCTGGTTTGAGCAAGGAGCTGCCTGAATGCTGAAAACCTTATTTCTGGCCTTCAGGTGGGTTTTGCTCTGCTTTGCAGGTGTTCTTCATTGAGTCTGTCTGCAATGATCCCACTGTAGTAGCTACCAATGTCATGGTAAGTGTGGAAACATTATTATTATTCACCTTATATATGTGTATATATATATATTTAATGTATTTTTAAAAAAACACAGCAAAACCAGTCAGTTGAAGGCTAGGAGGCTTTTATCTTTTTATGATTTACTTGGTCTGGAATGAAAAAAAGAGCTCATCTCCCTCAACCTCAGGGCCACCTAGACATTGTGAATTCAAAAGCCTGAACCTTTCCCCAGGACCCTTCTGTGCTCTCTGTTAAGTTACATGTTGACATGTAGCTTAACATCAAGGAAAGAAATGCATACCCTTGGCTTCAGTGATCACAAAGACCTAGTTTTTGGAAGCAACAAGTGTGGTTAGGGGTTTAAGTCCCATTGGGGAGTGGTCAGTCTTAGTGTCTTCAGCCACATGGTGTTTGAAAATTATTTGGGGTCTGCCTGGAGAAGAACAGCAGCCAGGCTTTGAAATTTCTTGCCACTAGCTAAAAATTCGTCTGGGAAAGCAACATAAAACCTTGCTTTGCAGACTCCTTTGGGAGATGCTGGATCTCTGATCTCCTACCATCAGGAATATGCCCCTTTGCCTGGTACACTTGGCTAGGGCAGATAGAAGCTGATTGTTCTACTTAGTTATAACTAACCTTAATGAAAGTCCTTTGCTCTACTGGGCCTTATGAGCTAGCCTTATCTCCGGTTGCATGTCTGAACTTTGAGATTTGCTCAGTTTTGATGTATCTTTCCCCTGCTTTCTCTGAAATGACCTGAAGGTGGATTTTTGCAGGATTCAATCCCTTTCTTTGAGAGAAACTAGTGCTTAAAGGGGGAGAGAATGAACTGCTGCCTGTGTGTAGGCTTCTGCTTCCCAGGGTGCTGGAACCAAAAGATGTTTTTGGTCCTGGGAACAGTGCAGAAAGTACCCTTGTAGGCCTGGGGCAGTGCTGCCCACATCACTTGGTTGTGCTATCCCACTGCTGTTTAGATTGCTTATGAAGTTGTGGATGTGTAATGCTGCTGCTCCACCCCAAATCTTGAGCAAAAACAACCTCTTGAAGTAGTTGAGGCAGAGCTTTGTCCTGGATTCTGGGTGTTCTTGATGCTCATTTCTAGTATAGTTATCTTAAAGTGAATCATCTGCAGAAAGAGGTCAAATGCAGTTGCCCTGCTATTTTAGATGGGGAACTGAGGCACAGCCAGGCTGCAGCGACTTGCACCAGCTTTGCTCATCTTGTGCTTAGCTTTGTGCTTCCTTATTCATCTTGCTACAAGTGATGTAAAGAGGCTTAGTGGGTAGCTGTGGCTTGGCACAACTTTGAAACCTGATATTTGCATAGCAGAATTGTTGCGAGCCGCAGACAGAGTGTTTTGGAAGTCTTCCTAATGTCTCCTTTTGGTGTGTTTTCTCCCCTGCTGCAGGAAGTGAAGTTGTCCAGCCCAGATTACCGGGATTGTAATTCGACCGATGCCATGGAAGACTTTATGAAGAGAATCAATTGTTACCAGGCCAGCTACCAGCCACTTGACCCAGATGACTATGATCGGTAAGAAACTTTGCTGACTTCCAAACAGGCTGCTTTTGAGGGGCTTTTGTCTCCCAAGAAAGCAGCAGTGAAGTATGGAGCTACATCTAATTCCTATTCAAATACGTGACCATGCTAGACTAATGTCTGAGCCAAATCTCAGTCTAAACTCAGGCGTCTTTCTCCAAAACTTGAAAACCCTATGCTGTTTTCCCTAGCCCTATGTCAGGGAGCCAGGCATCTAAATCTTCCCAGGGTCCTCTGGGCTGAAAAATCATGGTTCTGACTAGTGTGCCCTGTGCGGATGATCCTGGTCCTTCTCAGGAGATGCTGCCTCATCCTGGGTTGGAAGTACCTCCATACTAGGCTTATTTCATTGCCTTTACTGCTGCAAGAAGAAATGGCATTTGCACTGGTGTTATTTAGCCCTCCACGAATTACCACTACCTTTTGGCTTCCAAATTAAAGTAGTCTACAGGAAGTCCTTTGAGTTGGATAATGATATCAACTGATATCTCACAAGGCTGTTTCCCCGATTATGGTGTTTCCTTCTTTCTGCTTTCTCCTTTCTTGTCTCCCTAACTCTTGCTGTGCTTTCCCTAGGGAACTTTCTCTCATCAAAGTCATCGATGTTGGCCGGCGGTTCCTGGTCAACAGGGTTCAGGATCATATCCAGAGCAGGATCGTTTACTACCTAATGAACATCCATGTCCAGCCCCGCACCATTTATCTATGTCGGCATGGTGAGAGCGAGTTCAACCTCAAGGGGAAGATTGGAGGTGACTCAGGGCTCTCTAACAGGGGTAAAAAGGTAAGGAGAAAGGGACTAGTTCCTTGTGGGTTTAAGAGAGATTTGGTTGCAGGAGATGCTGTGCTTTGGGCTAAGGGCATCTTTGATGCCGTCTGGGGTTTTCAGAAGGTTGTCTATAGGACTGGCTAAATTTGGGCTTGAGCCTGGTCTCCGATTGAGACTTTCCAGCCATTCACATTGATTTTTATGCCTGCATGTAACTGGGGTTAACAGAGGTTGGGCCACAGAACTCTCTAGGAGGGAAGCGCGGTTGCATCTTCAGGGCTTGGGTTTCGCTCATTGGTTCAGATCTAGTACAGGCAGGGTAAATGTGTTGTAGCTCTGTTGCGTGCCTGCTGAGGACTGCCACGACTTTCCAGTAGGGCTAGTTAGCTCAAATGATGCTCTCAGACTGCTCACAAATCAGTTTTTCAAGGAGATGGGAGAGGGCCTGCTCTGGGAAGGAGGACTGATTATTATGGATTCCCATAACATTTTGAAGCCTAAATAAAGTGTCAAAGATGGAGTCACTTGAGCTGTGACTATTATCAAATACTACAGGATACATCAAATTAGCTCTGTTTATGGCAAATAAGCAAAGCTGTGGTTAGAGGAGGTCTAGGATCTCCCGTGTCAGCACAGGAGAGTCCAAGTTGTGGTGCTATTTCTTGGTTCTGGTGCAGTAGCTTGAAGGCATGAGGTGACCATCTCTGCCATTCTCTGTGATCTCTTACCCTGGTGGTCACTCCTTACAAATCTTGGCTGCTATGGAAATCTGCATTTTTTTTTCTGGCTGACCAGGGCCTCATCACAACTTTCATGGATACTCAGCCCTCACTTTACATCCCTCTGCTTGTCATGATCTTCAAAACTGCCTCAGTCTATGTTAACAGTAAGTTAGGCTCATACAAGCAGCATATTTTGTTGGAAGATCAGCTTCTCATCAGTCTTACTTGTCAGCCTGTTCAGCCAGGTGTTGCTCCAGTACCACTGGAACAACTGTGCCTCCCACTGCTTCTGGGAAATGCAGCATCAGGGCTTGCTCCCAAATCAAGGAATTTATTCCTGACCCAATCAACCCAAATTCGTGCTGAACTCAGCCCATAGTGCAGATACATTAAGCCCAAATGACAGGAGATAGTGAGAAAATTTGTGGCCCTTGGGGATCCGTTTGTGTGAGGCTGCAGTGCACCTTGCTGTATGAGGACAGTACACTTGGGAAGTGCAGAGGTCTTGGAAAAGGAGCTGGAGAAGGAAACACTTGCTGGGAAGGAGGGAGGAAGGCCCAGTGGGAAGCTCTGGATTGAGAATCAACCTCTTCTTTGTGTCCCACAGTTTGCATTGGCACTGAACAAGTTTGTTGAAGAACAGAACCTAAAGGACCTCAAAGTCTGGACCAGCCAACTAAAGAGGACAATACAGACAGCAGAAGCTCTCCAGCTGCCCTACGAGCAGTGGAAGGCACTCAATGAAATAGATGCTGTAAGCACCTTTGATTGCAGTAGGAACAGATATATCTTGCAAATTGGGGTGTGGCAGAATGAGTGACAGCACTTCATTTTTGCCTAAATCTCACCACTTGGGGAGAGGTTAGGGAAGGGGAATGCTTTCTTCTCTAGTACCTGCAATTTGGCTTCTGATCTTAGCTCTACCGCATGCAGATGCTCCAAGGTTTGGCTGTAATGATTTCTGCTTGGCACTGCTCTATCGCTGAACACTGAGAGGATTAAAGGCAATTTGCCTTGTAGAAGGGTTCAGTGCTGGGTGGGTCAGCAACAGTTGATCTGAAGGTGGTCAGTAACCTCCCAGATGTCCTATTCCGGCAGGGTGTTTGCGAAGAAATGACGTATGAAGAAATCAAGGAGCAGCATCCAGAGGAATTTGTTTTACGTGATCAGGATAAATACTATTACCGCTATCCTTCCGGAGAGGTAGGTCTGCAAGGAGTCATTTTGAAACATGCCTTTAACTTAAAACATGGCCTTCTTGTTTTTGTCCTGTCCCCTACAGCCAGATGATGGGGAGCAGAGGGAGAAAGAGGTGCTCTGAGAAATTAGAGTCAAAAATAGTCAGGGCTTCCATTTGCCTTTTTCTTTGAGTTCATGTGAGGTTGTGGGAGGGGAAGACCTCATTAAGAAATGCACCACTCAACAAACCACCCCATGGACTTCGTAAAAAAATTAGTTGGAAGGGTCCTCTGGAGGTTTCTAGTTCACTGAAATTGCTGTGTTGCCTCAGATTATGTTTTCTTTCATTCCAAATGAGTGATTTTTAGCCCTGCTCTCTCAGTCATTTGTTGAAGGTCGATTGAGATATCTCCATTTGTTCCTGACAAGAGAAATGTGGTCTGCTTTGGGGTGTGAATTAGTGAGGCATTAACTAGCAGTTCTGAGTGATACCTTAGGTTATGTATTGTTTTTTTTATGACTAAATTAAAAGCTGTAGAGATATTTAGGAAAAATTAATGTTTGGAGGCATGCTAGTGACAGTGTGCTGAACAGGAGAAAGTCTGGGGATGTCTGACACTGACTTCGGGCATCTATGGTTTTTATCTCTGAAGCCTTAGTGCAGTTGTTACCTACCTTGAGAGACTCTTTGGGACTGTGGCCTAGACATGAATAGCTTATTTCTCCTCTGACTGAAGAAATAGCTACATACCAGAGTGGCCCAAAATCAAGGCTCTGAATTTTGTTCATTTTTAGCAGTAATTACATTGGTTTAGTTTAGTCAGAAGGATGAAATTGATAGGTTTTAGGACAACAAGCATGGTTTCTTGTAAAAAGAAATCTCACTTTCCTGTTTTTGTTTGTTTGTTTTTGTTCGTCTCCCTCTCTCAGTCCTACCAAGATCTAGTGCAGCGACTAGAGCCAGTCATCATGGAGCTGGAGAGACAAGAGAACGTCCTTGTGGTCTGTCACCAGGCTGTCATGCGCTGTCTCTTAGCTTACTTCCTCGACAAGAGTGCAGGTGAGCTCCCTTTAGCCAAGCAGGAGGATGGTCCCATTGGTGGGAAGGTGGCAGAGCTTGGAGGATGCTCTGCTTGGAGGATGCACAAGGCCTAGAGCTTGCATCTCTTCTTGACATGGGGTAGCCACAGGTGCTGAGGAGGAAGGGGTCTGAGCCTTCCGTTGGAGAGTGGATGGGATAACCCACCTGCTTTGGTTTTTCTGCAGATGAAATGCCTTACCTGAAATGTCCCCTTCATACAGTGTTGAAGCTGACCCCGGTAGCTTATGGTAAGTGAGCATTTCTCCTTGATATGTTGGGGTACTTGACTTGCACCTCATATCTGAATCTAGGCCGCCTCTGGGAGATGGACAAGTGTCTGGGTTTGAGCATCTCGTAGCATCTGGTGACAGCAGAGTTGCTAATGCCCCTTCTGTCTCCATGTGCTCCCTTCTGCAGGCTGCCGGGTGGAGTCCATCTCTCTGAACGTTGAAGCTGTTAACACCCACAGGGAACGGTCAGAGGTGAGTGTTGCTCTTCCTCAAAGACGTGTCTTGGTCGGCCTTATTTCTCCTAAGGTCACATGGCAGTGAGGACTCCTTGGGGGTGGCTTTGGGAGGGAACTGCTTAGCTAGATGATTAGAAGTGCTGCTGGAGAACTGGAGCATCAGATGGGCTTTCATCCCTGAAAGGTGCAGCTGATAAAGTATTTTTTGGGGAAAAGGATGGATGCATGTGCCTTCCAGGTGTGTTGTTCAGATTAAACCTGGCCCATGTCCCATGGAAAGGTTTTTGACTTGACAGTCAGAGGGCTGTTCAGTCATCCGCTCTTCCAAGTGGGCTTGGAGCCATGGATGGAGAAGGTGACTTCTCTGAGATCTCCCAGCAGACTAGTAGTGTCCAGGACCAACAGCCCACTGAAGTATTTGTCTTCTCATTTATTTTTGTTTATTTTTTTCTCTCAACCACGGTTTTGCATGGTTCCCTCAGTGCCATCCTGCAGGCTGAAGGATCCTGTTGGAAGGAGACTCCTTGTGCTTGCATGGCACTGAGGAAGGGGACAAGACCCCCAGTAATGCACGGTCCATGACCTGTGTGTGACTGCCACAAGCTCTGAGGGCTACAGCAGGGGACACTGGCATGGTGGTTGGGCTGAGAGGCCACCAATGACATAGAGCTGTAGGAAGGGTGTTGGGAGCTGAGGGAAGGCACGTGGTTCTGGGGCTGCCTTGGCAGGGCTGGTATCCCTCAGGCTGAGATGCAACAGGGACAAGATGCTGTGCCCTTGCTGGCTTTTGTGTGGTAGTGATGTGTGCCCAGCTGGGTGGTGGATGGTCAGACCTGTCCCCATTTTGGGGCAACTTCTTTTCTTTGCTTGCCCACCTCAGTGGGCAGTAGCATCTCAGTTGCTTCTCCTTCCCCATGGAGGAAGCCAATCCTTCCTCCCATTGTTTGGGCCATCGACTCCTTCCTTCCCTGACAGAGCTCAGGGAGACAGGAGACCCACGTGGCGCGGTTAGGATGGAGCTAGACACGTGCAAAGCGCTTTGGTTCCTCTGCTTGGCTTTGAAAGCACTGCTCCTCCAACGCTTGAGTTCGTGATACCGACCCTGGCTGCTCTGTCTGACTTCCCAAGTCCTTCTTGCTAGCCTGGGCTGGCTCATCTCTCCTGTTCTTGCTTTCACACATCTCCCCAGGTCAGAGGGAACAGCTTGGAGGAGGAGACCAATGGGCACCTCTTGCTCTAGTCTCTCTGTCATGCTAAGTCACGGCCTTTTACTATTACGACTTTAAGTAACTTTTTTTTTGTGAGCAGAGGTTCAAGAGAAAATCCATCCATCTCATTCTGAGTTCAGGGCCTTTTTTTTTTTCCCCTCCCTTTCTTGGGAAATCATGCTGCATCCTTGAACTTTCTCATCATTATTTTTTTTTCGGTGTCCAGAGCCATTCAATGCATCCAAGTTGCCCTTTGCACGTCGACAGTGATTGTGGGGGAAAAGTAGAAACTGCTTTAAAGAGAAAACAACCAAAAAAAAAACTGCTTAATTTTTTTTTCCTTTAACTGTCGCCTTCTTCCCTTTATTTTTTATTTATTTATTTTTTTCTTTGTCTCACTCTAATTTAGGAAGCAAAGAAGGGACCTAACCCGCTCATGAGACGTAATAGCGTTACCCCTCTAGCAAGCCCAGAGCCCACCAAAAAACCTCGCATCAACAGCTTTGAGGAGCATGTGGCTGTTTCTTCCGCCCTGCCAGGCTGTGTTCCTCAGGAAGTGTCCACGCAGATGCCGGGACAAGTTAGTTGAACTATTTTTTTTTTTTTTTTTTTTTCCCCCGTTGTTCTTGTCGTTTATTGTTTGTCGTCTTCCTCCTGTCGCTCCTGAATCTGGGGAACGGCTTTTACTTTGTCTCCATCTGTGCTGCTGCTCTTCTGAGATGCATCAATCGTAGTGGCTCCTGTGGCTGCTGTGTCCCCTGCTGGGTTGGCTTCAGGAGCACCGAGTGAATTGGCGCTGTTGATCCTCTCTTGGGTTTGGAACGTGTCGCATAGCCCTGAAGCTCTGGGCTGAATTGACTGCATTGATTTGAAAGGTGTCTCTGCATCCCTGTCTGACGCTTGGAGTGCCAGTCCCTGGGGAAACTCTCCCCTGGAGCAGGCAGGACTAAAGGTTTTGCCCTGGCTCTTCTCCAACCCCAGTTCTAGGTATTGCAAAAGAGTAGATATTCTTGCACTTAGCTGAAGAAGGAGCTGCCAGGACCCATCTTTGCTTGGAGGTCTCTGCTCCTTGCTGGAGCACTAGGCAAAATGAACCAAAAAAGCAAGCAGCAGCTCTCTTTGCTAGCGCTGGGCACGGTCACCTGTCACCTCCTGTGGCCCCAGGTGCAGCCTCCGTGGGCAATTGGGCCAAATGACTGGCTGTGCATTTGCCAGGCAGCCTTATGGCAGCCGGCTGCTCCTTGCGGGGTCTGCTTGTGCGTCCTCTCCTCTTCTGACCATATTTGAAGAGATGTGGCCCCAAACTTTTACTTGGTGCCCATTTCTCCAGGAAGAAGACACCCTTCCCTTTCCTAGCTGAGAAACTGGGGCAATAACTCTAAAGGTCTTCTGAGCAGCTTTAGCAATTTAGGAGTCCCATCGCTATGCTGCCCTTCCCACTAGCTGCTAGTTGGATCTTGCTGTGTCACCTGTCCCTTCAAGTGTCTATGTTGTCTGGTGTCTTCTTGCCCCCTCCTTGGCCAGGCCCCTGGGCAACTTAGGAAGGATGCTGCACTCATTAGAGCTCCTCCAACCTGGTTGAGCATTGCCCACTCTGCTTGGTGGCAGTCTTACGTTAACATTTCCATCCTGGCAAGCACTAAACGGGGCAGCGTGTTGGTCTCTTGGCTTTGGGGTGTTCTGCTTGGGCTGGTGGAGTCTTCTAACTAACCCTCCACTGGCTTAGGTTTTGGAAGTGCTCTTTGCTCGAGTGCCCCACGTGGACATCAAATGTCCTTTGCCCGTGCTCATGCTGCGTTACTGACACCTCTCTTTCCATTCTCTCTGTCTCTTTACAGCCTTTTCTAGGGAAGGCATGCCTGTAAGTACCTTCTTGCGTCTTATTCCCCTCTTGCCCGCTTTCCTTATCTCTTGCCATCCCACTGGTTATTTTGTTGTGGCTGTGAAATTTGAGTTAATGCAGCTGTGTGCGAGACTGGAATTTGGATATGCGTTAGGAAAGGTGAAGATCAGGCTATGGCTGTTGCTTTGGCCAACCTCTGTGTCCCAACTTGAAAAAAATATCCCAGTTATGTTGGGAAATTGAGCCAATTATCTGACCTCTCTCAATGCTGTCTAAATTTTCTGCCTTCTCCCTTAGCATCCAATGCATGGGAGATGCTAGAAGATTTTGATTGAGTTATCTCCTTTGCACAACACTTCGTATATGTGAGGGACCCAGGTGGTCTGTCCTTCCTGTGAGCTCCTAGTTGTATATATGAGTGACTGCACTGGAGATTTTCTTTTATTTGCCTTTATTTCAACACCTGTCAGATTTTTATTTCCTACATTAGAGCAAGAGTTCATTTTTGCAGTTGAGCTGACCTTGGGTCCTTGCATCTGTAGTTCCCCAAAACCAGGTTTGGGCACACTGGATGCCAGGATGTTGTCCTTCTCTAGCTCTAGCCAGGAGGCAAGAAGCTTTGAGCATTTAATGCACAAGTTAGATGTGGTCAAGGCTTCAGCAGGTTGGATCAGTGTTGTTAAATCCTTAGGGGAACAGGGACAGGACAGATAAATTTGGAGCCTTCTGACTTTATTCATGCTACATCATTAAGCTGAGATAGCAGCAGTCTTTGACATACTCAAATGTCTTCTCAAAGGTCAAGGAGATTTTCTTTTTTTCTGATTTAATCACAGATTGTGAGCAAAGCTAATAGGCACTGGCTGCTTGTCAGCAGTCTGCTGGGTTTGAGCTGAGGATGAGACAGTGCCTGGGGGTCAGTTTGCCCTCCACAGACCAGTTTGCATCAGCCAACGTGCATGACTGTCCTGTTACATCTTGTGGGCAGAGGACTGGGAGGACTGCTGTTAACCAGCTGGACCATAATTTAACCCTGCTTTCATGTATCAGCTAACGAGCCTCGTGTTTCTTCCCTTTTTGGAGTAAATGATGTGGGGGAAAAGAGTTAGAAATATCAGACTGGGTTTTGCTCATAGATGCCCTAGGGAAGAGCAACCTGCTGCTAAGAGGCAACTGCAGAAGTTGAGTTGCTCAGCATGCCTGCTGTCCTCCTTGTGCTGCTGATAGGTGCCAGAACCCATGTTGAAGTGTTCAGTCTTCTCGGGTTCCTTGAAGGTGTTGTGTCATTATCTTCCACTCTGTTTTGATGGGGCACTGAAAGCGCTCTCGGAGTTTCCAGCCTTTGGGATGTATTTGCATCACAGTTGGGCAGAGGAAGAGCTGCTGGAGCAGGTGGTGATGACTCCATATCCCTGGTGTGGGACTGGAGGGGCAAGCTTAAAAATGCAACTCTTGGGGCCCTGCCTCCACCCGCCTAGCCCTGGGTTTAGAGGCAGCTTTGGAGGGAGCCAAGAAGGCTCCAACCAAAGGGAGTCAGAAGTGGCCTCCCTTTCCAGTTTGCACCTCTGGCAGCACGAAGCTTCCCTGGAGGTTTCAGCCGTGTTGCACTGGCCTGGCAGCAGAACCCTGCAGAGCCCGGGGACACCCAAAAGTCCTCCTGGCTGTAGGCTCAGGACCCTGGGGAGATGGTGGCTGAGCCTGGCCAGGCTGTGGCATCAACTGTTATGATGGTGCCTCTTCTTTGGGCTTGCTCCACAATCCAAAGCGCTTTTATTTATTTGTTTGTTTATTTTTACAATGATCCAATTTACAGTTTCTCCTCCTCCCCCCTCTTCCCCTTTTTCTCCCCTTCGCTTTCCATGCTTAAAGACGACCCGTTTGTCACTTTCTCAAAGTTTTCTCTTTACTAATATTTCCAAGGTAAATGGCTGTGGTGCATGTGGCTTTCCTAATCCTGACTCTGTCTCTGTAAATAACGCAGAGGGAGCAGCTCAGCCTTGTAGTCTATGTTGTGGGTCCAGCTGCCCATTCCTGTTGCTTGTAAGAGGCAATTTACATAGCTTAAAAATATATATATAGTGTTGAGAAACCTTCCTAGCCCGTTTTCCACCCCTGCTTTCCTGTAGCTTTGTTAAACTGGGAGATGTCCTTGTTATGACGACTCCTCGGTCTTCTCATATTGTGGATGCATCCCCTTCTGACTGCTACTTTCTGTGGTGGTGCCTGCTTGCTTTTTAGCTCTCTGTCTCTGCCTCTCTTTTTTTTGTGTGTGGGTTTTGGGGCTTGCAGCTTTGCCATGCATTAGTGAATGTCCTGTTTGGGTGCCCTCATGCTGTGGGAACTTGGTGCAGAGGGGTGCGGGTCTCCTTGGAGAGGAGGGTTTTCCATGCAGCTGCGGGGTCACCAAAGGGTGTCACCAAGGAGATGGTCAAGGATGGTGACCTCTTCCGTGGCACAGCTGAGAACTTGTTTTTTAGCTCAGTTTTCAGGGATTTCGGAATGTGTTGAATCCCTAACCTTTAGTTAAGCACAGCTGGTGCATAGGGAGCCAGCCAAGGAGGTCCCCAACACCTCCTTGGCCAAACTCTCCATCCTTCTCCTCCAGTGGATGGTGTCCTCTCCCTCCATGGCCGATGCTTTTGTAGTGCCCTGTGTCGTGGCTTTCCGTCCCCTCTCTTTATCCACACGCGGAAGGATGCGTCTGGGGGTCCCTGTGGCCCCCGCACGATGCTCAGCCCGGCTCTCTTGTCTCTTCCTCGCAGAACATGAACAACTCGCAGAAGCTGTCGTGATGCGATCCCGAGCCCAGCAGCGACGCCGGCTCCCATCCCATCGTCATTTCTGCAGCTTGCTTGTAACCTGCTCTTCCTCAGCCACGGTTGCTTCCACCCCCAAAACTCGGTCACCAGCAAGCGGGGCCACTGAGCGACGGGAGGAGGAGGAGGATGCTCCAGGGCCGAAGGCGGATTCATCACCTGAGGCCAGGGCTTGGCGCCGCTCTCCTCTCCAGCGCGCTGTCATAGCAAGCTGTAAAGTGCTTCTCGTGCACGGGAGGTTTCCAGTTTAAATTTTCATGCGTAGGCATTTTTTTTTTCCTTTTTCTCCTTTTGTTCTTTTTGTAGAGATGATTGGTACCGATCCGTCTCATGGTGGAGTTGTATATATGTGAATGATCCAGGGTTAGCTGAGAAAGATGGGGCTAGGGAGACAAAGGGGCTTCTAATTTTCTTTTTTATCATTATTATTGTTGTTGTTGCTGTAATTATTATTTTCTAAGAAGGCCCCCAAGGCACTCTGCTAGGGTCCTTTCTGCTGCAGCCTGTCACACACATGTCTGGTCTCACCAGGATGCATGCAATGTGTGCAAGGAGGGCAACAGGCTGTCTCAAGAAGCCCTTCAAAGCAAAAACTGCTGGTTTTAACCAAAAAAAAAATCAGAAGTTCAGGGGTCTTTGGAGCTCCACAGGCCAGGCTGAGCTGGGTGTGTGCCGCAGATGTGCGGGTCTCTCAGAGGCAACCAGAGGTCTTGCTAGGGTGCAGAATTTCACATGTGGCTACTAAAAGCCACACCAAGAGACACTTACTTGTCCATGACTTTTTTTTTTGATTTAATGTGTGTACACGCACACGCGTGTTCGCGGATATGTGCGCACCTGCAAAGCGCTTGGTTTTTGCACTTTATTTGTGAAAGGAGTGTAACTATTTTGTTTTTTCTTTTCTTGCTTTTTTTATTTCCCCAAGTCTTGCCCTTTTTTGCTGGGGAAGCCTAGCCACTACCTTGATTTTTGGGGCTGCAAAGCCGAGATGCTGGCAAAGCAGCTGTTGTGGTGGCAGGTGCTGGCTTAGGGACTAGCTGTTGGAATAACCAGCTCCTGGGGGATTTTCCAGGCACGTTCTCAACAGCCCGTCCCAGGCCAGACATAGGGTTAAAAATGCCAATTAACCACTACCGTTTTGTGCAAAAGTCTGCGGACGCTGCTTTTTTTTCCCCCTTTTTTTAGGGCTTTTTCCCCCCTTTGTGGCAAAGGGGAACCGCAGTGCCTCCTGTACAGATGAAAAAAGTAATATATATATATTTTTTTCCTTTGCATTTATTTTTATTCTTTTCCTCCTTTCTCAATAGCTGCCTTAAAGGCAGACTTCTCTGGGTGTGCTGTGTGTGTTTGACACTTGCCCTTTTGATTTTGGTTCCCCCCTGCCTACTCCCCAAATTTGAGACTGGCTTGTGTTTCGGGAGGACGAGTCCCTTGTCTCCCTGGGCCATTTCCAGGGGAGTTTCTCTTTCTCCTCCTGCCATGAAAAGATAAGGTGGCAAATGTGAGCACGTGATGTCTGGCTGCGCTATGATCAATCCTGTAAACATGTCATTCTGCAGACTTTTTTTTTTTTTTTCCCCATGTGAGTGTATGTGTATATGTATTTTATTTATTTATATATATATATATACACACACACACAAAGCTGCCACCACCACCAACAAAAAGAAAAAAAGTAATGACACAAAAAGTCATTTCTTTCTCTGGGAATTATCTAAGCCTTGGTAGGTCCTAAAAAAGAAAGCAAAATGGGAATTTTGATGGGTTTTCAGGCGAAACTGGTCTCTGAGCAGTGAGAGCCCTCTCGTGCTGCGGGGTTGTCGAGGGCACTAGGAAACTTGCTGCCTGTCAGGTTTTGGTTAACCAAGTCGAGGAGCTGGTGACGAGAGGGGACTTGTCGAACCACACCAATGATTTTTTTCTCTTGTTTTGTTTTTCTTTATAATACTTGAATTTATTTTTTTATGTTTTTTTTGATAGCAAAGCACCGTTTATTTATTTAATGTGTACTGCAAAGCTTGGATGGAGAGAAGGTTAGTTACTTGGGGGGGATTTTTTTTTTTTTGACTTGTGGTACGTTAACTGTCCTGTATATGCGTCTGGAATAATTGCCTGATATAAAGCTGTGCCAGCTTAAAAGGGTATGCCTTTCAGAAATTTGTATATTTTGCAGTTGCTGGACCAATAAAATCTCTTGTTGGAATACAGATGTGATTTGGGTCTTACCTTGCCATTGGGAATCATGCTGTCTTGCATCCAGTGGAGAAATGGAGTTACAGCAAAGGCAGGAGAATGATTTACGACAATGCAGAACTAGTATATTTGTTACAGGAGGAATTTGTTAGCAAGACTCTGTTTCCTTCTTGAAGAGTGGGGACAAAAAGCTCTATCTAGACAAGTCCTAAAAAGAGAATTGGCGTTGCTATAGCTTTTTAGCAATGAAGAGCTCATTAGCGGTGTTCAGGGATGTGATTCATCAGACCTACTTAGACACCAACTTAGGGCAAGCTGAGGGCACCCCATACCCTACGGACCAGGTCACTGAGGAGCATAAAGGAAGCCCAAGGTGATGGTCTGGGATACATCCTCAAGGCTGTAAACTAGCCAGGATTTGCCATCTCTTCAGACCTGGTACAGTTCTTGCAGTCAAATACTTGCTTAAAATACTTCACTGTTAAATGAAGCAGAAGGGCTGAGCCAGAGCTGTCTCCTGAGATCACGGTCGTCTTTGCCCCAAAGGCAGGAAAACGACAGATGTGTCCCTCAATGGAAACTGTGGAATTTGCTGTGAAAGCCTCTTTTTTTTTTTTTCCCTCCTCTCTTCTTTCTCCAGGCTCCTGAGAAAACAGGGAGGGAGGATGTGAGGAGGAGGTCATTCGGACATGACACTTGGATGTGAGCCATGGGCAGGCTCCTTGGGTTGAAGCTTCCCATGGGATTGGAGGCTCATCCTCAGGTAGTTGGACCTCTGAAAGCTGGCTAGTACTAAAAGGGATTGGAAAAAAAACATAGTCCTGGACTGCTTCATATTCAGGCCCAGCTTTTTCTGATGTTGATGCGATGCAATGCAACCCGTGTCCTGCTCCACTTCAGCTTTGACTTGGATGTTGGAGTGGATCAAACCTTTCCTAGGGCTAAGGCATGCTGCAATACACCTTGGATTTGCAGGGGATGGCCACTGTCTCCAGTCTCCCCTTATTCCTGCCTGAAAGGACTCCTTCCTGCTTCCCTACCTGAGATCCTGGCAATAATTGCACTTTTTCCTGGGTTAATGCTCAGGTGCACGAGGTTGGGCATCCTTGCAAGGGTCCTTCTGAGAAAAGCCACAACCTGAGAGCTCTATAACTTTTTTTTTTTTTTTTTCCTCCCTCTTTTGTACCAGTCATAGATTTGACTGGCTCCTTGATCCAAGCTGAGCGGAGTCCTGGGATGAAATAGCCCTTCCCTTTCTTGAAACAGGGAGCACTTACCCTGCTGCAAGACCTGAAGCCTTGTGGCAAGGACGTTGGGCTCGAGCCCTGTGCCTGACCACTTTCCCAAAGGACGAGCTTTCTCCCCAGCCACAACATGAGCACGTGACATTCCTCCTGCAAGCAGAAGCGTTTGGAAAAATCTTGATAACATCGACCTTGCCAGGGAGAGCCCGGGAAGAGCCGCCTTTATGGCAGCCAGGGACGTATCAAGGCCAATCTGGAGGACAGGCCCATCTCCAGTGAGCTCCTGCTGCTGTTTCAGGATGCGGCTCATGATAGGCTGCGAGTGGGAGGTTGCACGAGGATGAGTGTGGTGGGAAGTGCAGCAGTGCAACGCTTCCCACCGCCGAGCTGCTCTGACAGGATGGAGCAGCCGTCACCATCAGCACCCGGAGGGCTCTGCGACCTGCTGATGGACCAAGGTTGTGGTACAATAAATGATTTTATAGTTCTGAAGACACCTGACTACCTTGCTGAAAATGCTGTCCCAGGCAGCGTCCTTCTGTGAGTTCTGATACCCTCAGGGCTGAGCTGCCGTTCAGAGGGACCTAGACAGCCCAGAGAGATGGGCGGAGAGGAACCTTTTGAAGTTCAAGAAAGGCAAGTGCAGGGTCCTGCAGTTAGGAAGGAACAACTCCATACACCAGGGCAGGATGAGGGAGAGCTGCTGGAGAGCGGCTCTTGGAAAAGGACCTCAGGCTGCTGGTGGACATGTTGGCCACGAGCCAGCAGTGTACCCTTGTGGCCAAGAAGGCCAGTGGTCTCCTGGGTTGGAAGAGTGTAGACTACAGGTTGAGGGAGGTGATCTTCTCTCTCTGCTGAGCTCCTGGTGAGGACACAGATGAGTCCTGTGTCCAGGACTGGGCTCCCCAGTACAAGAGAAACGTGGAAATACTGAAGTGAGTCTATCAGAGGACTACTGAGATGATGAAGGGCCTGGAGCATCTCCCGTATGAGGAGAGGCTGAGAGCTGGGCTTGGTCAGCCGGGAAGAGAAGGCTGAGAGGACCTTATCAGTGTGTATAGGTATCTGAAGGGAGGATGTCAAGAGGATGGGGCCAGACTCTTGTCAGTGGTGCCCAGCAACAGGACAAGGGGAAATGGGCACAAGCTGAAACACAAGAAGCTCAATCTAAATATGAAGAAATTGTTGACTGTGAGGTGACAGAGCACTGGAACTGGTGCCCAGAGAGGTTGTGGAGTCCCTGGAGATATTCAAAACCCAACTGGACGTGATTCTGCACAGTGTCCTCTAGGTGACCCTGCTGAAGCAGTGAGATTGGACTAGATGATCTCCTTGGGTCCCTTCCAGCTTCAACCTTTCTGTGATGCTGTGATGCTTGACCATTAACCAGTGACTACTGCATCCCACAGGATGGTAGGTCAGAACTTCCTGAGGCTTCAACCCCCATGGAGGGTTGGCCCAGAATTGCATTTTCCCTCTTCTCCTGTTTTCTAGGGCCCCGGCATCCAGGTCAGGAGAGCCTGCGGGCAGAAGGGAGCA